AAGTGTCTCGTGTTTATTTTGCTGTTTTCGCAGCTTTGCTTTATTATTTAAGTTATTGTGATTATCATTATTTAATTGATTATTATTATCATGCATAAAGGAAAATAGTGACATGTATGGATCACAAAATAAGTGGTGTTCTGCGCCAGGATGCAAGAATACCTCAATAAGTGCTCCAAACAAACTCTTTCTAGCCGTTCCCCATGATTATGCACGTAAAGTTTYATGGTTCAAAGCAGTTAGACGTGCTGTTYCTAAATCAAAATCAATGTTTTTTTGTTGCGAGGATCATTTTAATGAAAGTACGAACAAAAAGCTGATGATGAGGCAGACAGAATATGCCTTCGATCGTACTCTGTGTTCTGGACAAATTCTACCTTGCACAGTGCACAAAGAGCCTTGGCGTTTCAATTGTACATCTCCGATATCACCATATTGTTCTCGTGATGCCCAAAATACAAATTTAAGAGTTCATTTTACTTTTAAAACAGCCATGTTATGTTAGGTTAAGTTGAATAAGTGAAATTCTATATATCATTTACCTGATTTAAACCAATACAGACAGATTAGTGTATTAAGGAGAGAGTAACTAATAATGAATTTACGGATTTTTACTTACGCTGCTGCTTTGACACCCTTAAATTCGGCTGAATTAAGGCGGTCGTCGTTTTTTAAACATTCGGTAACGATAAAAATATGTACACATCGTAAATTGTTGGTTGRCGCTTTAAGGAATCCTTCTGAAKCCATTTTTTAGTTTAACACAAACTACAAWTTATTTAAATCCACAAAATAATTAATGAAACACAACCACACAACTATACACTATCCACAGAACGTAACCAATYCGCCATTTATATGACCAGTGACGTCACAACCAATAGGAGTGCGTTTTAGAGATTCATGAATAATTTGAATTTYAGCTGAATTTRTTTATTAATTAWTTAACAAAATAGCAATAGATAGATAGTATAAACTTATTTAATCTTTCATATATGTACATATATGTTCAGTTTGTAGGAATTTTTGATACAATGCAAACACCCTATGGTCTAATAATCAAATTATCAGAGCCTATCTAAGCCCGAATTTCCTCACTCATCCACCGATTGATTTTGAGTATTTGCTGATCTTACTGGCAACCAGCCGAAATAAACCCCTACTTAAAATGCCTCCCTGAAGACTTGCAGGCAAATTTTGATACGAACGTAGAAGAAACAGTTAAAAAGGGTCCACCTTGTATATTGATTACTACTCCACCTAGAGGATTTAACGGCAAGTGGATTTAAAAGGCGTATTCGAAAAAAAATGTTTTCAAATCGCCAAATTCAGACAATAATAAACAGCCATAAATCGGGCTGATTTGACTGCGTCGAACAAATCTTCCCAAGGGGATTAAAGCCACCCTGCGGCTCCTTCCAGCCGCACAATGGAACTCCCACAAGCTAAGGGAATGTTTACTTTGAAGAAAAAAGAAGAAAAAAGCCCTTCGAACATCAAGTGTGGAAGGACGAGTGTCAAGGGCATGGCGAATTTCAACAGACAGGCGTGCAATCCAACAGGCCTAAACGATCAAAAAACGCGAATTGGCTCACGCAACGTGAATTGTTCGAATTCCTTTAGAATTGGCGAGTTTTTTCCTCGTCGATTTGTTTGCTCTCGGCCAAATTCCCCGTTCGGGCGATTATGAGGATGAAGATAAGTCGGCTCGAAAATTAGGGAGGCTTTCCAAGGCCTTTATTCAACCTGCCACTGTGTATGGGCCCATCGAAAATCCATGAACCTTGACAGCGCCAAAGTGATTTGACATTTGTGAGTGTGTCATTTTTCAAGTGTCAGAGTTGTCAATCACTGATCACAACTAAGCATCGACCTGTCAACGTCGACCTGTCTTGTCAAACTAGTCTTAGGATGGAAATTTCCCTACTCATACTCGAGCAGAGACCATCAGCAGATTAGAGTTGATAAAAAATCGCTTTCGCCTGCTCGATTCGCCGATAAACATCTAAATTGTGTCGTAATTGTCTGGCGGTGGTTAAAAGGGCTTGAAATTGTCCCCCAGGAGGGGTGGCGGTGTACGGCGGAGGGGCCTCTTTTACGATGCGCATTGTCTAATTAAGCATGGAATGAATATACGCGAACTGCAGGGGGGCCGAATACGACTCGGAACGTGTCCAAGTGCTCTCCATGTTGGGGAATTGCGTATGCAAACCGGGAGTATTTTCCCGACTTGACGCCGAACCGAATCCATTCAAGCTGTTGCTCTTCCACTGTGCAACCGAGGCGAAGCGCAACAAATCCGATTGGACGCTCGTCTGCCGCATTCCCACTATGTAATTGGTTTCATAATTCGGTTAGACCGATAATTTGGTGCCTTACTTGATGGCAGCCTCCATTAAGGATCATCTGTTAAAATCCATTCAATCCCTCAGGTTGCTGATGCTCGATCAAGCACCACGTCATTAGTGCTGATTGATAAAGAAACGTTATTTAATTACCGCAAGTTCGATGTTCATAACCTATCAGACACTCAATTAACCACTTTTCACCATTTTTTTACAAACTTCTTTTTGGGTATTTTGCCTCAAAAATTTTCGTCTTAAAAAAAGACATAATTTCCTCGCGCCTTTTATTACAGATTGATAAATAGTGCTCTTATTTTGCAATAAGAACGAATTATTTATCAAAAAGTAATCAAGAACTATCACCTAGAGGGTATCCTGCGACACACTCAGGCTCAAGCTGTAAGAGAAAATT